CCCCAAAACCCCAAAACCCCAAAACCCCAAAACCCCATTTTTAGGTAAATTATTGATAAATTTTTAAAATAAAATGAGTAGAATCTCAAAGACTTATACTAACCGATTTCAAAGAAAGTAAGTGACTTGTATAAGCCATTTAGGAAGCTCAGAGAAATAGCAAAAAGGTCTATACAACAAGTAAGACTATAACTTAGTAGAAGTTCAAATCATAGTGGTGCTAGTGATTGTTTTAATAAAGGAAATACTCCTTAAAAGAGTTTCTCCTAGTTTTCTAATCTGAGATACACGGTTTTTAGACATTAAAATTTTTACCAATGCCACAGATTTTTAAACAGTTAGTTCAATTGTTAATTACACTATGAGTTTGGAACTTCCATACTCACATTTTATATAGGAATCAAAGATGAAGCAAAACAGTTTTACTGTAACTAGTTAACATAATCTGTAGAGTGAAGATGACTACATTTTCCCAAAGTTTATGCGTAGCTACCAAGGCTTCAAATAAATTTGATGCTGATGATTACGATTTTCGTTCAAGCTCAGTCCCCTCAGGAGATGAGCAACCCAAAAATATAAAATTTCCAATAAAAGGTATTAAACCAACTAAAGATTAGGCAAACTGTACTATAATTCCAAAGCAATCCGAATGCAAAGAATAGATCAGCAGTTGTCTTCCACAGATACTTGGAAGAGGAGGCTTAGCTCTGACGATGTAGTCAATGCAAGCACTGACGAACCAACTCAAAACTATGAAGCCCGAAACAGCAGTCAGCCTAAAATCAGAATATTTGTCAAAGGTGGGAATGTTATGAATTACAAACCGACAAATATCCAGGAAACCAAAAGAAAGAATATCAAATTTAGTAGCACTCAAGGAGGAGGTACGAATAGGAGCAAAGTTCGCTCAGAAGCATCACACATGTCCAACACTACTCAGACTCCCAGCAGGATTGAAGTTATAGAGAACAAATGACGGTTTATTAATACAAGGCCGAGTTACGACGAAAGGAAAGTGTCCAACCTCATTGAATCGAGGATTCAAGAAGCTCTTGATAAGATTGACAGAAAGGAGGCAAACACTCCAGCTCCTTGCTCACTAATTTCCCCAGTGAGGAAGAAAGACTCCTTGATCGATGAAAAGTCTGAGTTCCTCTAGGTATATATTTTTCTTAAAAATAGATATGTTCAAATATAAATGCCGTTACCAGAAGAAATAAGAAATGGACTTACAAAATAAAGGTAATTCTTAGACTAAACCTCACAGGAATCTTCAATCCCAATAGATGTGATCTTCCATGAAGAAGTATCTAAAGTGAAGAACAAAGAAATACTTGATGAGAGACACCATAAAACTATCAGCTTCAGGTACTTCCAGAAGGGCCGCAAGAGAGGAAGAGTATACTTCACTGTTGAAGGGGATAACGAGCCGATAGAAAGCACTTATATTTGTAAAACTATTAGCTATTATAAGACATTCAAGAAGAATGCTCATCCTAGTTCCCCATTTCATTCTATTGAGCCAGTTGAATTGAAGAAAAGGAAGAATGGGAGTCTCGAAAAGAAGCTGAGCTTGCGGAACAAAGTTGAGTCGTTTACTGAAATTGCTCAGGATGATAGCGAGACTTCAGATTCATTCCAAGAACTTGTGATAACCGAAAAGTCTGAGGAGTCTTCACACTTGTCTAGTGAATCTATTATAAAGCCCATTAAGGCTCAAAAACTAGTAAAGAGATCAATTAAGGCACCAAGTTCTAATTTTAAGACAAGGCTGATAAGAAAGCCTTCATTCTGTACTCCTCTGAGCCCCAGGAAGCTGCAAGGAGCTGTTCCTTCAGAGTTGTTTTCTAACCCTGAAATTTTGAACAAAGCTAGTTACAAGATCTTTAAGCTTTACTTAAAACATGGAAAGGGGCTATCCAAGACTCGATTGAAAGCTCCTAAATATATGAAATCTCCAGGTAAGACTAGTTTTGATAACACCCTGGCAAAAGCAAATGGCTAGACAAAGAGTAGCAATTAAATATATGGATGGGCATTCTAAGATCTCCACTTTGTATTTTTAGGTTTAGACAAAATTAATAGAATTTTGATACTTATACGTTATAGATCCACTCAAAGTATCATTTACAACAACCATGGAGGGACATAAAGGGTTGAATCAGGACTTGAACTCGAATAATAACAGGTAGATTATCATTAATTTTGACACCTATTTATCTGAAAGTTACCGTACTGGTATAGAGCTGGTTCTCAGCCAAAGTATATAAAAACCACCAAAGCTAATGATTTATCTTCCTCGGTGAGAACTCCAATAAAATATGAAAATAAATGGGATAAAGCTATGGTAATTTTATTATTATTAACTCTAGCGTATGAATAAACGAAAGGGGGAAACAGTGCTTCTCAAATCTAAAAAATACAGAAAGAAGATCACTGACAAGTTGATGTTCCAAAAGATGGTTGATCATATTGCTTTGAGCAAGCTAAAAGTACTCTCTAGTCTTAACTCTTAGGAAAATCATAACAAAAATGAACTCAGTGAGGAAGATGGCTTTGTTCCAAATCCCAAACAAGACATTCACCAAAAATTCGTATCCGATATGCAAGCTCTAATTCATGGTGATTCTTAAGACTTATAGCCAATATCTCCTGTCAGAAGGGGTTTTGGGGTTTTGGGGTTTTGGGGG